AGTTGACTAATGAGAGATTGAGAGACGGGACAGATGGTTATGAGAGTCTGAGAGAGTGAGATGCGGCCGGATAGAGTTACTGAGAGGGAGATGAGGGCCTGATATAAATTAGGGGTTAGGGATTCATTCACGATTTGCAAAACAGGGTACCTGCAGGTGCTCACGGGTTCACCATATACACTCATGTTATCGGGTTGGGCCGGGTACGGGCTAAAAAAACGGGTTTATATTGAAGGCCTATACCCTATATTTTTACTGGGACGGGCCGACCGCGGGGCTTGGACCCATTTTGCCAGGTACAGTTTATATACAGTGTGATGTATTGTGAGTGTTTATGATGTAATATTATTCTAGTTATAAAAATAAAGGTCTTGCACAATGGACCCAACTATAGGGTTTGCATGATAATTAATCATTGTTTTTACTTTTTACCATAATGCATATACCAATTTCAGATACTACAATATAATAATTGCGTGGTTTTATTAACACCCACCCTAAACTCTTTTTAAGTCCCAGAGTCAATTAAATTTAATAATTTATTTTATTCCAAAATTAACATTTTCTATTTTTTTTTTTTTTGGAACCTCTCTAGTTTCCTATTATCTCGTTCTTAATTTACATTTCTCATTTATTTAACATGATTAAAACAATAGATTGTTCAAAAACATTTCATTCTTTACTTGTTTCCTTTTTTTTTTTTTTTTTTTTTGGAAGTGAATAAAATTTTAATCCAATATACTTGTGCTTTAGAAAGGTTATAAAAACTCATAACATAAAAAACGGAGTTGGATTAAATATTTCAGAAGAAAAAAGGTTTGAAGGATAAAAAATAGAAAAATATAGTTTTAAAATAAATTAAACCATTCTTTATATTAATATTTCTGTTCTGGAGAGGAATATTCGTATATTATCCATGTTCCTAAAGCAACCCATCAGCAAAAGTCAATGGATGAAGAAGAAGTCAATCGTCCACTAGTCTGGTCATCGACCACAAACTTCACTTCCCATTCAGACACCGTTTAGCAACTCAATTCAACCTTTCGTCCCCTTGACTCACCGATTCAACTCGCTCTTCCTCCTTTGCGCCAGCCCACAACATAAGGTCCTCCTCTGCGTGTACTCCACACCCGTCTTCTCCGATCCTGTCTCTTCCACTGGAATCATTGTGTCCACGGTCGCGTTGATTTGCATCCCACGATCCTTGTGGGTGTTTGACATAGTCGCGCCAGAAGGTAACGCTGGCCGTTTGAGTATATGCACCGTTGTCCGTCCGGTAGACTTACGTGCCTCTGGATCGATGTTTTCTAAATCGGATTTGCGTGCACTGGTGTTGGTGGTTTTCACGCATTAAGTGAGCCTCCTCCTAGGCTAAACCGGTGATTACGCGCTGGGCTCCAAGGTTTAATCTTACTCACAATTGGGTCGGAATTCATTGAATTTCTTGGATTTTTGTTGCAAAAGGTTAACCCTGTTGGATTTACCAATGAATTCATGCTTTTAGTAGATTTCTACTGGAAGTGGGATTTGCTATGCTCGCTTGTTTTAGTTCAGAGTAACAATGTTTTAGTTTTTACATAAGAATTCAATTTGTTGTATACAATTATATAAATATTTTACTGAAACAATGTTGTTTATATCTAGAATTTGATACGAAGAATTTGCTTCTCAATAGGCATGATTTATTGACTATGAATTTATGTTTCAGTAGGAGGAAAGCGAGTTTGGGAGGTGGGATTGGATGAAGATTGGCTCGAAGTTGTAAAAAGACTTCAGGTCTTTGGCTGCATCATTTCTTACAAACAGAAGGAAGAATCAGCTATCCCATTCCCTTATTACCCAGATGTCTATGAGCTTGCAGTGAACAGTGATGTGCTTGTTGTTTGCTGTGCACTTCACAGAAGAAACTCACAATAATCAAACAAGGATGTAATGACAGCTTGGGAAAGGAAGGAGTGATAATTAACGTCGGACGTGGGCGCCTCTGATGAAAAGGAAATGGTAAGTTTTGGTAGTGTGAGATTGGTGGTGTTGTCTGAGTGTTTGAAAATGAACCTCATGTGCCAAAAGAGCTATTCAATTGGATAAGGTGTTGTCTCCCCATTGTGCAGTTGCTACTCCCGAATGCTTTGATGATGGAGGAGCTGATTGTGTTAACTTGAAGGCTTTCTTTGCAATAAATCCTTGTGGTAATGGTCAATCTTGAGTGAAGGGACTATTCATTTAGTTTAGTTTTTTTGAGGTGCCTATGTACTTCGAGAGAAAGCAGAGATATGTTGTGAAATTAGAAATGTAGCCTTAACTGATGTTTGAAACTTAAAAGCCTGCATCTCCTTCTTCGTTAATTCTTCCCAAGTTAAAAAAACACAGTAAGATTTAGCTTTTTACAAACAATTAGTGTTAAGACAGGTACATTTTTAAAAGAATAGAGAAGATAGAATAGAACTTGAATCCAAAACCTTGAATCTTAGAGGTTTTGTTGAGTTCTTTATATATATAGTTTACAAGCATAGTCAAGTACATGATTGAAGGGATTGTAATCTTGTAATTTACATCTATAAGGATATGTGTCATCCTTGTCTTTCAATGTGAATTTAGCATCAGTGATATGTTGGATCCACAACTGCAATCTCATACGCTAGATGCCAACCCAGAATCTAGATGAAACATGCAGACTGTTTGGCAATGATTAGCATTAAGCTTCTTGTTCTTCACCAGGTAGTATCACAGACTAAACTATGTGAGTGTACTGTGCTTTCAAATTCCATTCTTGGAAAGACAACAAGATTTATTCATTCTTCTGTTATATACTTTGTTTCTTAATAATGTAATAGTTAATTGCCAGTTTCGAAGTTTTATTTCATACCATTTTGTGTGAATAATTTGATTAAATCTCTATTAGATGTAGACAAGTTTAATCTAACACCACTAAGAAAAAGGCTTGTCATCAAAGTTAAAAAATTTCAGTTACCTGAGGTACCCTTCCTTGACTGTTAATATGACTAAGCTATTTTCAGTGAATCTTTTCATTTTCAGAATTGATGGGTTGATTAATAATTATAATAATAATATTATTATATATACGAAAAAAAAAAAATAATAAGCCAAGTATTCTAATAGAAAACCATCTGAAGCAAAATTAGTAGAGCTGCTCTAGTTTAAACCATGAGGAGATGATACTTTAAATCTGATACATTGTGCATTTTTTTATAAGAACATTGAATTCAGCTACCCCTAGTTTCTGCTATACCCTGATATCAGGTGTCGAAGTGAAGCTGAGAAACTGCTGTTGTGGTATTGCCAGTAATATGACTTAATAGAGCTTGACATTAAACAATGCTAATTCCTTCGAAGAAATTGAAATGAACAATGCGCGAGACATCATACAGGCTGAAGTCAGTCTGGAACTTAAAATTTCATGAAATTAAGTACTTCTCAAAATTTTGTTTTTTCGTGGTCGTAAATAGGCACTACGGACGTTTATTATTGTACTCTGTTGCATCATCTTTGTGCTCTACTAACCATCCACTTGAACAGATTTGCAGAGGTCACCGATTGGCAGACAAACCAACAGTAAAGGTAGCAGTCACGGTTGATGCTCCATCCATCGTCAAACTATCTCATGGATCGGCTTTTGGACTAATAGAAACACACTTGAAACAGTTCTATATGACAATCGGTGAGTCCCTCCCTGATAATGAACCTGCCCTTGATTTTAGTTCAGAACCACCCCATATAATTGATCAAAGTGATATTGCAAAGCTATTGAGCTTGAATGAATTCACATCATACTTATTGATTGCAATATAAAATATTGCATGTAATTTTCATGTAATATCATGTACCAAAATGTGAGTAACATTATTTGTCTCAGCATGTCAGTTATATGATGGATTGGATTCTATAGTCTTCCACTTAAATGCATAACGAATTGCAAAATGAACAGAACCAGTTTGAATTGAACTATAACATAATAGCAGCATATATATGGCTAAAGGCCAAGCCAAGTTAAACTAAATAATTATATCTAAAGCATTCTGAGACATTTATCAACATATTCATGACTCTGTTTTAATCAACCCAAGCACAGTAACTTCTGCTCAATGATGCAAGTGTTATCCACCAAGAAACCTGTTTGGACCTTGAGTTTATGCAATGACATGAACTTTCTAGCACCCCAATCCAGGAGTGGAGGAAAAAACCGTTTAAACTGCAGGAAGGAAAAATGAAGAACAGGAAAGGGAGTTACAACAAGAAATTATGGCACTGATGCAATCTTATATTGCATTCAAATTTTTCTCATGCCAGTTCAGGTTTAATTTTTTTTTTTGTATCTTCCTGGTTTACGACTTGCAACCCTAAAGAGATAGTTTATGTATGAGAAAAAAACTATGTTATCATAAGCTTACTTGAAGTTAAACGATAAGGAATCTCAACATATAATATGACATGATTTCTTTTGTTGATCTTTGACACGCAGAATGATTTCACAAACAACTTAGTACTAGGGGAATGCTTTCCTTGTACAACGATAGAAATATTGAAATACTGTTGCCCTGCCTTCTGCATGTCCATTAGGTAGAGCGAAATTCTCCTGCATTAACGAATATAATCACCCAGGCAGTGGTTTATCTAGCAAAAAAATAAAAGCCATTGCATATCAGAAGTGAATTGTCACAGTTATAATCTCCAAATGGTTCAGACAAATATTTTCATCAAGTAAAGTTGAAAATTCTGTGATTCCCAAAGATGGTAACATGTAGCAGGTTCTTTGATCATCGATAAGCAATCCCCTTTAAAAGTACTTTTGACAACAAAACCCATCGGACGCCAAAGACACAAGTATCATCGATAAGGTATCCTTTAAGAGGGTTATGAAATGCTTTCAGATCTATGAATTTGGTGATACCCCATTTGGTTTTCATTGCATGGTATCTCCTTACTCTACCATCTACATCACAAACATTAATGAATCTATTGAGTGCAAAAGCATAACAATTTCTAAACTTAGGCACTGGATTTATCGTCATTCTATCTGTATAATTTACCCTGTCAAAGTAAGAGAGAATATGTGGCACCACAAGTTGATGCAAACGAATCATATAAACAATAGATCCTCGTATGAGCTCTGCGGTTAGTCTTTAAGCACTTTACCTTGGAGACTATCATACTTGTCTTGAAGCTGATTGAATATTAGAAAATTGAAAATCACATTGACTTCCCATCCTGCAGGGAGAGAACTTGTCTCCATCAATTCCAGGTAAATGGAGATATGATTTTCCGCGTTTTTGCTAGAGTCCCCTGTTGGGTATATCAGCAATCTCCTGTAAAACCAGGTCCAATGGTAAACTGAAACAAAGAAAGGTCTTGTACTAATTTGGCAAGTAAGCATATTTAAAAACTATGGAAAACAGATAAAACTGTTTTAGAAAACATTTCAACCAAGAAATAAAATACCATTTGAAACCCCCTGCTTCAAATTGGCTTGTTCTGTATATATCAATTGAATCTTCTAGTAATGAGAAGGACTCGATTTTGAACAAGAAATGACTAGGCAGAGCATCCCTTCCTGAAGAGTATAGAACTTATTACAGTTTTAATAAGTTCCATGAATTATAAGAGAAAGTATATGGTTCAACATATGAAAGTGAACAACTCCGGTTAAAAATCTTCATCTCTTATCATTAAACCCCACTAATTAACATCATACAACTACCAAAGCACTAGCATGAAAAATGAAGTATGATTTTACATGTTATATATATCTGGTGTGAAAATTCTCAGGCGCAAACGTCCTGAAGTTTTTAATGTACAGACCAAGACCTAGAGACTTTGTATTTTGTATATACTTAATTGATGGCAAAAATATAATATATAATTAAAATAATGTACCTCTTAAGATGGCGGCTTCAATGGAGTCGCTAGCATTCGTGTTGTTGAGAAGAGAAAAATTGGGAAGTTCAGAGAAGTCGTCGGTGTGCATGTTGTTTATAAAAGATACGTGAATTTGAAGTGGTGCTAAGTCTAAACAGGCGCTTTGGCCTGAGACACGGTTTTTATTTTTGAGTTTCCCTCTTGTTGCAAGCAAGGAATGAATAAGACCATTTTGTTCAAGTTTGTAAGAAAGGCAAGGAATGAATAAGACCATTTTGTTCAAGTTTGTAAGAAAGGCAAGGAATGAATAAGATCATTTTGTTCAAGTTTTTAAGAAAGGCAAGGTTAAATCAACTCTACTTGCCCAACCTCCTGATCAGGGGCGGATCCAGAAAATATTAAAGGGAAAACAAAAAGGCCCGAATTGAAAAGAACCAGTTTTAATTGACGTATAACAAAATAGCAAGCATATATAAAAAGGGAAAAAACAGGAACATAAACCAAATCATTCTAGCTAAAGTATTCTAAGAAATTTAGCAAAAGATTTCATCACTCTGTTCCAAATCAATCCAAGCACAATAACTTCTGCTTCAATGATGCAAGCGTGTTCTGGATCCTTGGGTTTATGCAACGATAAGAACTTTCTAGGACCCAAAGCCAGGGCTGGAGTAAACAGCTGTTCGCCTGTAGGAAGGAAAAAAAGAGAACAAATAAATGAGTTTATAATCCTTCCAACCATAAGAACCAAGGCAAGAAATTAAGTCACTAATGCAATCTTTATATTGAAAATTCTCCCACATGGACGTCCTAAAACTTTTAACAAGCGGACCAAAGTTGAGCGTCTAGTTACTTACTTTTGATTATAGGGTTTATGAAGTGAGCGTCTTGATACTCACCTTTCGTCTGCATGTTAAAAATTTCAGAACATCCACATTTAAGGATGACTAATCTTTATATTGCATTCAAAAGATTCCTCTATGCCACTTCAATATACAATCTTTAGTATTCATTTGGCACCATTTCTCTCTTCAACTAAAAGATTTATAATACCGAAACCTCTAAACACTAAACTTTAGACTTGATTAAGCACTTTCATATATTTTTGTTTTCTTAACAATCAAGAACTTTTTGGTAAAACTATATTGTCATGAATGGAAAAGATCTTCCTATGTCATCAGTCTTGTAGACAAATACTTTGATTACTATATATACCACATAACACATAAATAAATTAAAACTTTTAGCTATAAATCAAATCCTGATGAAATTGCATGAATGGGATTACAACCTAAGAACTCTGCACAACCTAATATATTTTTAATCAGCCCAAGAGACTAAAATCCACACTTTAAATAAAAGATACCTTCCAAGATGACAACTTCAGTGGACTCCTCGGTCTTCATGTTGATGTTGAGAAGAAAACTGTGAATGTGAAGAGGTGCCAAAGTTTCAATAAGCGAATTGGTTTGACTCTTCCTCTTCTTCTTGCAACGCAAGGAATAAGAATATTATCTTTGTACAAGTTTGTATGTAAGAGGAGCATCTATGTAAAGGGCTTCTCCTATTTTAATGAGAAAATGGATCAGCCCAATAATCAAAAGTTTGATTTGTAAATCCAAATAAGCTTATTACACGTTGAGATTAACAACCAATAAAATTTTGATCATTTTGATATGTTTTATTTTACGATCCATTAAAGTTATATATTTAATAGATAATGATTTTAAGGATAGAATCAGAATTCATACTACATTTGAAAGATAGTTTTTTTTTTTTTTGGGCATTAGTATATCATATGTGCTCAATAGTTATCTCTTTATATTATTCTTCAACTGAGAACCACGAAAACATATTAAGCTTATGACACAAGCAATTAATTAATGTTGTTAGCGCCTAAAAAACATGATATTAAACGTCAAAGCCAAGGCTCTGTAAATTTGAACGACAAGTAAAGGGCTACATAATGTTTTTCGTTAATTAACACAACATAAGCATTACATACTCTCCAAGATTCACTTGATTTATATTTTCTCAAATTGCTAACTTATAGATCAAATATGTAATATGACAACTTCACCAATGCCTGAGACATTAGTAATCACCTTGTGTGGTTGAAAGAAAAGGGAAAATTACATGATATTACATGTTCTTGAATAATGTTTCATTTGAACCTTATAATGTCTGTCACATTTGAACCCTATAATGTCTGTCACAATAACTTCTTTGTGCTCCTCCTAACTCATCCCTTTCAACCAGGTTCAGACTAGAGCCATTATGAGACAATCTAGCAAGTTCTTGACAATGAACTTACCCCATGTGAACAAAGTGAGCAAAGTGACGGTGCAAAGATCATGTAAATATGGGCACAATACTCAAAAAATTTCAAAAATACCTTGTAAAGTATCTATTTAACCCAATATTTGTCCTTTATTCAGCCCAAACCTTTAAACCTTACATTAACCCCGTCTCTATGCTTCAATATTCACAAAAAATGATAAACTGCCCCTTGGGAATCCTACTATAGTAGGGAAAAATCTCCGCCAAGGCAGAATGCTCTCATGCAATACACATAATCAGGGGCAGATGCAATACTACATGGCCCACCCTCAAAATTAAAAAAAAAAAAATATATTAATATGTATAATTTCTAGACTTTGACCCATCATAGCATAAATATTAATAGATAAAAATATTAATACGCAATTAGTTTTTATTTTAACACACACTAATAGAAATTTCTAGATCCACCCCTTGTAAATAATAGATAAAAAGGTTTTAATTATATAGAAAATAATTCTTAACCCGTGTAGCATGTAAATCATGGATGACAACTTGTAGTTGCAGTACAAAAATATTTATATGCAAATTTCCATTTGATACCTATAAAATGTCTTTCTCTTAAACAATCCCAAAACTTTGGGTCTCTATAATCAACCCCCAAAAAACTCTTAATCATGACAGTTTTAATTATTAAACTTAATCACAACACTTCAAGCTTAAAGTAAAATTTTCAGCAACAATTTATACCCCTTAAATCCCCAAAACATTCCAACCAAAACTCTAACAATTTCACACACCCATCATTCAAGTTTTACACAATTTCTAGCAAGAAATTTATGTCCAATCCTCTCATTGACTAGGATGCTTATAATTTATTCTCTCTGCAAAACATAAACAGATCTTTAAAGGAAGATGATGGTGCAAAAACATGTCTTTTGTAACTATGAGAAACACTAATTACAGCAAACGAAATATGGGAAACAAATAACTATTTTAAAACTCCTATAAACCTTTCTCAATTCTCTACATAATGTCTTCATATGTCTTTGTACATGATACAAAAATATCAAATAATGATTTTTATAGCATAACCAAAAATCACTGGTGCACTTACAATTAAAACACCAACAATGACCAAGCAACCACCTCGTTTGGCATATCGAGCCCAGTTGCAGCAAAAAATCAAAAACCCGTGGCAACAATCGTAATTTCCCTTATAACCCCTACAACTCTCTTATACCCAGAGAGAATTAAAGCATAGAAATGGGATAGCAGACTGATAAAGATACACGATATAAGAAAACATATTTTGGTCAAGAATACTTACCACAGTGGTGAGCGAAATTTGCTTATCAAAAGAAGTTTCAATTCATCTTTTGCTTTTGAGCAAAACTTTGAGCTAACATTTGATTTAAGAGAACATGAGATGCTTGAGAGTCTATATGAATTGGAGATTTGTGAAAGAGATCATACCTTGTTCCTTGATCGCATTGGAGTAATACAACCATAACAATTATAAATTCAAAACGAGGACTTTGATTTGAAAATGTCCGATTATGAGTGAAACTTTTTTAACAAATGAACCTTCCTGCCATTTAATTTGATTTAAGAGGCAATATTAGATGCATATGAATTTGAGATTTGGGAAAAAGATCCTTACTTTTCTTGATCTTTCATTGCAGTAGGAATGAGTGAGAGAACTCTAGTGTGACTACATGTGCAATTGACTTGAAATTCAAAATGTTATTAGAATTAGGTTGACTTAGATATAATAAACTATTAGAGCACAATTAGAGCACGATTATAGCACACTTTCTTCTTTAGCATATAAAATCATGTGTTTTGTATTATGAGAAACACTATTTATAGCAAACAACAAAAGAAATACAGAAAACTAATAACTTTTTGAATGTCTTTTTTACAAGATCCTAAAATATTTTACAGAATGTCTTCATACACAATTAAAAAAAAAATCAGAAAATAATTTTTACTGTAAAACAAGGTCTTTATACACAATCCCAAAAATATCAAAAATATTAATGTGCAATTAGTTTTTATTTTGGCCCACCCTAATAGAAATTTTTAGATCCGCCCTTGTATATAACACAGGAAATGTTTTAATTATACAGAAATAATTCTCAACCCATTTAGCATGTAAAGCATGGATGACAACTTGTAGTCGTAGAACAACATTATTTATATGCAAACTTCCATTTGATATCCATAAAATGTCTTACCATTAAACAATCCCAAAACTTTGGGTCTCTGCAATCAACCCCCAGAAAACTCTTAATAATGATAGTTTTAATTTTTAAACTTAATTAGTACACCTTCAAGGTTAAAGCAAAACTTCCAGCAACAATTTATACCCTTTAAATCCCCAAAACTTTCTAGTCGAAACTCTAAAAATTTCACATAGCCATCATTCAAGTTTTACACAATTTCCAACAAGAAATTTGTGTCTAATCCTCTCATTGACTAGGATGCTCATAATTTATTCTCTCTGCAAAACATAAACAGATTTTTATAGGAAGAAGATGGTGCAAAAACATGTCTTTTGTAACCATGAGAAACACTGATTACAGCAAACAAAATATGGGAAACAAATAACTATTTTAAAACTCCTATAAACATTTCTCAATTCTCTACATAATGTCTTTATATGTCTTTGTACATGATACAAAAATATCAAATAATGATTTTTATAGCATAACCAAAAATTGCTGGTGCACTTATAATTAAAACACCAACAGTGACCAGGCAACCACCTCGTTTGACATATGGAGCCTAGTTGCTGTAACAAGACCCAAACCCATGGCAACAATCGTAATTTCCCTCACAACCCTTGTAACTCCCTTGTACTCAGAGAGAAATAAAGTATATAAATGAGACAACAGACTAATAAGGATACACGATACAAGAGAACCTAATAGGTATTTTGCTCCATTAGACATCTCAGATTTGCAATTAGTCACCAGAAAACAA